AAGCTACTAAAGTGGTAGGGAAGACCAGGGCATAAACTCAGAAGAAGACAACAATATGAAAACAGCTAAGAAGAAAAGCCTCAAAGAAAAATGCTAATTGGGCCCAAGGCCAGCAAGAATTCCTAGAAGTTAAAGAAAGAGATAAGAGTGGTAGAGGAAAAACTGGGAAAAGAAATGAGCACAATGCAAGAAAGTTATGAAAAATTCTGATAAAAGAAGCATAAAAAATACTGAAGAACATAAGGCCTTAAAAAACAGAATTGGCCTAAGGGTAAAAGTGGCACAAAAATTCACTGAAGAAAAGAACTTCTTAAAAAACAGAATTGGCCAAATACAAAAAGAGGTATAAAAGTTCACTAAAGAAAATAATTCCTTAACAATTAGAATTGGGGAAATGGAAGACTATGAGACTTCAAGAAACAAAAAAAAAAGTTTAAAAAAAAGAATTAAAAATGTGAAATATCTAATTAGAAAAACAGCTGACCTGGAGAACAGATCAAGGTGAGATAATTTTAAGAATTTTTGGAGTACCTTAAAACCATGATAAAAAAAAAGGAGCTTACACATATTTCAATAAACTATCAAGAAAAACTTAGATCCAGAGGATAAAGTAGAAATTGAAAGAATTCACTGATTCTGAAAGAGATCCCAAAATGAAAACTGCCAGGAATATTATAGCCAAATTCCAGAGCTTTCAAGTCAAGAGAAAAGTGTTGCAAGCAGCTAGAAAGAAACAATTCAAATACTGTTGGAGCCACAGTTGGGATTATACAAGATTTAGCAGCTTTTATGCTAAAGGAGAAGACAGCTTTGAATATAATATTCCAAAAGGCAAAGGAGCTAGGATTATGACCAAGAATAATCTACTCGGCAAAACTGAGCATAATCCTTCGGGGGACAAAACTGGATATTTAGTGAAATAGACAACTTCCACGCATTTCTGATGGAAAGTTGAGAGCTGAATAGAAAATCTGATATTCAAACACAAGACTCAAGAAAAACATAAAAAAGTAAACATGAAAGAGTAATAAGGAACTCAATAAAGTTAAGCCATTTATATCCCTATGTGGGAAGATGATAAATGCAACTCTTATGAACTTTATCATTATTAGGGCAGTTAGAAGGAGTATACATATACAAAAAGCATGGGTATCAGTCAATTATGTTGAGATGATCTCAAAAGAAAATGTGGGGGTGAGAAAGAGGGATGCACTGGAAGAAGGAGGATGGGAGAGGTAGAATGGGGAAATTTTTCATATACAAGGAAGAACTTTTATAGTGATGGAAAATGGAGGGGGATGCTAGGCAACGTTTCAACTTCACTATCATCAAAATTGGTTCAAATAGTCAAGAATATATGGGTATACACACACACACATACTCAGGCAAAGAAATCTATCTTACATGATAGAGAAATAGGAAGGGAAAAGGATAAAAGATATGTTGGGGAGGTGGAGATTATAAGAGGTAGGAAGAATTAAGGGAGTCAACAGTTTCAAAAGCAAAACAGACTTTTGAGAAGGGAAAGGATAAAAAGAGAAGGATAAATAGAAGAAAATAGTATAGAGGGAAATACATAATTAATAATCAGAACTGTGAATGGGAATGGGATGAGCTCACCCATAAAACAGAAGTGGATAGTAGAAAGGATTACAAACAACAAAGGATTACAAATCCAACAATTTGTTGTGTAGGAGACACACTTAAAACAGAAAGATACACACAGAGTTCGAAAAGAGTGCTAGAGCAGAATTTATTATGCTTCAACTGAAGTAAAACAGGCAGGGGTAGCAACTGTGGTCTCAGATGAAGCAAAAATAAAAATAGACCTAATTAAAAGAGATAATCAGGGAAACTATATTTTGCTAAAGTTAATGAAGAAAAGAAATTACAGCAGTTTCTCTGATAAAGGTTTCATTTCTCAAATATATAGAAAACTGAGTCAAATTTATAAAAATAAGAGCCTTTCCCTGATTGATAAATGGTCAAGAGATAGAAACAGGTAGTTTTCAGAAGAAGAAATCAAAGCTATCTACAATCATATGAAAAAGTGCTCTAACTCACTATTGATTAGAGAAATGCAAATTAAAACAAATCTGATGTATCACCTCACACCTTTCAGAAATGATGAATACTGGAGGGGATGAGGGAATGTAGGTACATTAATGAACCTATGGTAGAGTTGTAAACTGGTCCAACCATTCTGGAGAACAATCTGGAACTATGTCCAAAGTGCTATAAAACTGCATATCCTTTGATCCCAGCAACATCATTACTAGGTCTGTAACCCAAAGAGACCAAAGGAAAAAGAAAAGGACCTATATGTATGAAAACACTTATAGCAGCTCTTTTTGTGGCAGCAAAGAATTGGAAATCAAGGGGATGACCATCAATTGGAGAACGGCTGAACATTTGTGGCATGTGGTTGTGGCAGAGCACTATTGTGTGGTTTCAGATAAACATGGCAAGACCTACATGAACTGATGCAAAGTGAAATGAGAACTGGGAGATCATTGTGCACTGTAACAGCAATATTGTTATGATGATCAACTGGGAAAGGCTTGGCTACTCTGATCATTAGAATGACCCTAGACAATCCCAAAAGACGACTGATGGAAAAAATGCTATCCATATCCAGAGAAAACTGATGAACTCTGAATGCTAATTGAAATATAATTTTCTTATTGTCTTTATTTTTTTGCTTTGTTTTGCAATATGGCTAATATGGAAATATATTCTGCATGATTTCATATGTAAAATTGACATGAAATTGCTTACTCTCTCAGTGGGTAGGAAGAAGTGAGAGGGAGAGAGACAGAATCTGAAACTCAAAATTTAAAAAGAAAATTTAAAAAATAAATACAGAACAATTTTTTTTTCAACAATTTAAATACTAGAAAAAATCCATTGCATAAACACAGCATAGATGACTTAAGATGAGAAATATTTTCCTTTGGGGAAAAACATGAAAATGCGAGTTACGTGGAGTTCAGATCAAGGCATACTGATGAGAACACATATGAAGAAATATGACCACTTCTGGATACCATACTTTAAGCTAGAGAAAGGTAATCAGGATAATAAAGGTCAAGAAACCATGCTAGGTGAAGGAACAGAGGATCTTTAGCCTGTAAAAGACGAGACTTGTGTTGGGAGTGAGGTAGGGCAGGAAGATGGCTTATGATAGCCACCTTCAAATATCTGAAGAAATACTGTATGAAAGGAGACTAAATAAATACTCTGTGTTGTTCCATAATGAAAAAGTTTCCTCACAGGGAGTCTCCCTATACAGATGAAATAACAGGTATGGATAAGAAATAGGTCTCTTAGGTTTGTTTGGGTATGCCCATATTGTCTAACATGGAGGTTGAGGGACATTTGGAGCATGAGCAGATCACCCTCCCTGGAGGCCCGTACCACATGGATGGGTCTCCTTTGACTGGCTGTGTAGACAGAACAGCCCTAAAGTTACCTCTTTTAAAAACCATTTAATCTGAACAGTTTTCCAAACTCCCAATAGTCTTTCCTCTTTGTTTCAACAGAACTGAGTCCAATCAAGAGAAATTACAGGGAGCCAAATTTTGGCTAATTACAAAGACGCTGTCTCTTGGACAGGAGATATAAGGCATGCAAAAAGGTTGACATCTGTGCCAGAAAGAATAGGAGACATGGAAAATTTTGATCTTGTGTATATGCATATACTCAAGTCAGTCAGTCATTTAGGTATTCTTCTTAAATACATAGAGCCACTAACAGAAGAGGCTAAGACCACCAGTGAACTTCTTTTCTTGGAATTTTTCTAGGCCTCCTTTCTCCTTGTCTTCTTAGATCCCCAACCCTGTTTCTTTTTGCTTTTTCAGGGCCAGTCTGAAGTGAGCTTGTCAGGCCTCTTTCAGCTCTAAGGGGGAGTCAGTTTAGTATTGAAAAAAAAAGTGCCCAGAGAAATTATATTGCCAGAAAGCCCTTTTTCCGTTGGTATTCACCCAGGACTACTTGAAGTTCCTCAGCTTCCTCTCTGCCCTACCCCACCCTTTTCACTCCTTCTCCTTGAGTAACTCTTTTTAGCCTTCTCCTTGTTGGAATTCCTATTTTGGGACTTGGATTCACCCCCAGTGGTTTGGAACTGGGACAGTAACTTTTTCTACTGTCTAACAAGGGAACGGGAAATGACAGGGAGTTTCTGTTTCCTCTAAATGGGTGAACACCTGTATTTAAAGCATTTATTTGATCCCCACTCTATTGAGAATCCCACATTAGGGTCCCGAATGCTTAGCATGGAGCCTGGCAGATAGTAAGTGCTTAATAAATCCTTGTTGGTTTATTGACTTGAATGCATTTTCTCATAGGAATGTTTATACAGTTGCTGGTAAGGTTTATAGTAGTATTAATAGAGTATCATGCTTTGGGTATATTAAACACTGTCCTGAGAACCTAACCATCATTTAGAATGTTATTTCTATGAGAGAATGTACTGAATTCTAAACAACTATGTTACATACAACTTTTCTGACATAAACCTATTGGTAAATTGGCTACAGCCTGCTTATGTAAGCACATACATTTATGCAAACACACTACACCTTCACTTTGATATTTACAATACACATATAAAAAGGGGTGGGGCTGTAGGTATAAGCAATGGGAATCATTAAGGAAAGCACAGAAGCTTGTATTAAATGTCAAAAACTCAAAGAGACCAGTTGGGAAAAAACCCCAAAATACATGTAAGAGACTGATAAAACAAAAGAGGAAATAATTCTTAACGATAGGAAACTTATCATTATAATGGAAAAACAGCAAGAACTTTCTCCATTTCCCTATCCCTTTTCTCTTCCCATCCCCTGACTTCTGCTTGTGAGTCTCTAATTTTTGTGTACAAAGGAAAGCATAATAGGTTTTCGGGGGGAAAACCCACCTTTTTAAGCAAAGAAAACCATAAGTCAAATAAATCACAAAATAAGAAATTATTCCAGTGATTGAACCAATTATTTTAAACCTACCTGGTTATTATATGCATCAGGAGCAAGTTTCTTATATGTAGGGGCCATCAGAGTCGATAGATTTTGCAAATTGGATTCCAATTTCTCTTCCTGTATAAAATTAAATATTGTATAGATTAATCTATATATTTACTTTTTCTCCATATGAAAGCAATTAGCTTTGAATTGCCTACATCTTTGGTGCAAATCAAAATGCATTCCCTTACTTATACAATCTTACCCCTTAATAGAGGATATTTTTGCACGTCGCCATAATATTTGAATACAAAGTGAACTGAGACCAGTCATCTAGTTGTTTTATCCATGTTCTACCAAATATCCAGATATTTAGAGATCTCTGTTGGATTGATTTCCATTTTTCAAGGCAATTGGGGTTAAGTGACTTGCCCAGGGTCACACAGCTAGTATCAAGTGTCAGAGGCCAGATTTGAACTCAGGTCCTCCTGACTCCAGGGCTGGTGCTGTATGCACTGAGCCACCTAGCTGCCCTGATTTCCATTTTTAATAACATATCTGATCCCACAGAAATGCAACTCACATTTGGAAAGAAAAAAAATTTCACTGTTCTCCCACTTTCGCATTAGCACCCAAAGGATAATGCACTGAAAAGCCACCCTTGGCTTACTATGTCTGTTTATAAGCTTCATGTTTCAGAGTGCTTACAAAAATTCTTTCAGTAAGTCAAAATGAGTTTTCCATGCATCAATAAAAAATAACTGAAATTTCTTCCATCATAGATAAAACCCTTGATGCAAGACTTAAGAGTCTATTCAACCTAAATAAGAAATGCACATTTACATTTTCAGTTGGAGGAGAACAACAATTTTTCCAAGTGAACTATATTGGGTTTTTGTTATTGTTGTTTGTTTTTGTTTTTGGTCCAGGCTCATTATTCCAATAATGCAGGGGGTTCCCTGGTGAGTAAACTCCTTCTACCAAAGCAGATCCACAACTTTTGTGCAACTTCTAGCCTTAGAGAGTCATCTGGGGACACTGAGAGGTTAAGTCACTTTTCCAGGGTCACTTAACCAGTATGTAGGATTTGAACCCAGGACCTCCTGTCTCAGAGATTGCCTTTCTACTATTATCTTACATTTATAGATACACAAAATTATCTCATGATACTAAGTTGCTGTATTCTTGCCTCATGTTTAGGATTCTAATTTTAGCTACAAATACATTATCATATAAGAGATAAACCTGGTATCAATGATAAAAAGAGTGGCAGCCTGGCATAGTGTCCATTGTTCCTATATTAGGTGGTGGGTCAGATTTGTATCCTCTGTAATTCACTGTTATTTTGCTCAGAATTGAAGCTATGTCATCCTATCTATTTTCTGGGAAGAGATTACTGGTCACCCCTTCCATTTAGTGTATGTGAATCCCTGTTCTAAGATATAAGAATGTATAGAAGGGATGTGAAACTACTTTTTAGTGGGTAAAAATAAAACTGGTTTTCATCACAAAAAAACTGTCACTGTTCATTTGGTGTATAAAATCACAGTGACTTCTGTGTACTAAAAAGGACATTTTGTGCATTTAGGGTAATATTGTTTTAAAATGGAAGCAATGTGAACGTCCTTTAGGGAACCTTTATGTTACTAATCCATGAACACTTGCACTTCATTTCCCTCCTCTTCATAGCAAACTATTAGAGCCACCAACTGAGTAAGACTGGGTTTTCAAAAGGCAGTAAGAAGTATCAATGTTGTTACTAATTCATTTTGTATGTATACATTGGCTACAATTCAAATTCACTCAGCAACACAAAATGTTTTCAGATTTGCTCTGGGTTCTTGGAAGATCAATCATAGCTCAAATGCAAAACGTATCAAGATTTTCAATCAACCAATAACTGATCATACTGTCCAACTGCTAGCCTGTAGGCCACATGATTCTCAAAATTCATTAAGAAGAAATGGGGAGGTGGGGAAGGAATTTAGGTGGTACAGTGGATAGAGTACCGGCCCTGGAGGCAGGATGACCTGAATTCAAATCTGGCCTCAGACCAAACACTTGACACTTACTAGCTTTGTGACCTTGGGCAAGTCACTTAACCCCAATTGACTTAAAAAAAAAAGAAATGGGGGAGAGGGAAGAGAGCTCATTCCTCTGACAAAGAAATCTTTCTTAAGGAAGAAAAATTCGTAAATAACAAAATTTTGATAAATTGATTACCAAATTAATTTGGTAATAATACCACATTTGCATTAGATTATCAATAAACATTTTTTGTTAAAACCCAAGAGCAACATTTTCATGATGTTATTCAGCAAAATACACACACACACACACACACATACACACACACTGTGATATAAATAATAGAAAGTCTGGCTTGTTTTGAATTGGACAGCCTAAAATAAGACCTCTACATTTCTGTAAGATTAGAATTATAGAGAACATCATATTCTCATTTAACTCTAACACTATCTTCACAATTCTCAAAAACACTGGGATTTCACATCAAGATAAAGTATAATATGTTTTGCCTATCCATTGCTATGAGGGTGATATACTTCTACTATAAATATCACCACCATCTCCCTGAATTCATATAGTGCTTTACAGTTTATGAAGATCTCATCTACATTAGCTCACTGGGTCCCTACATCCATTCTCTGGGGCTGGTGAGAACATGTATAATCACCCCCATTTTGTAGGTCATACAGATGAGAGTAGGGACTGTTAGTTTGCCCCAGTGCTTAGCACAGTGTCTGGCATATAGCAAGTGCTTAACAAACGCTAGTTGACTGGCTGGAAGAACCAGGATTCAAACCTAAGTCACCAGACTCAGAGTTCATTATTTTACAGTATCATGGATTTAGAACTAGAAAGGACTTTGCAGGTCACAGAGTCCAAGCCACTACTTTTGCATTATGAGGAAACTGAGGCTCAGGGAGCATAAGTGATTTGTCCAAGGTCATATAGCTAGTGAGTAGCAGACAGGATCCAAACCCACATCTCTTTGAGTGCAGGTCCAACCCTCTTTACATGTCTACCACATGGCACTGCTTCTTCATTCATGCTTGAATATTAATCCAGGGCAGCTGTAAACAAGCTCTCACATTCTACCACTGACAATTCATACATGTGATTTAGCTGACAATCTATTCATCCACTGCCTCTAGTGCAATGGAAATATGATGGTATTCAGAGTGAAAGGACCTGGGCTTGAGTCAAAGGTCAACTATTTACTACCTGCATAACTTTGACTAAGTCACTCCCCCTCACCAGGCTTCAGTTCCTTCATTCGAAAATTGGGTGATTGAGCTGAATGGTCCCTGAGGCTCTTAGTCTTATGAGCTCTTGTATTTTCATGAGTTCCTAAAAGAATAGGTCTGGTGACTCTACCAAAGATGAACGACATTAGACAGAAGGGAGTTAACAACTCAAAATGGAAAACCGACCTCTTTCGGATCATCCCCAAGCAGCTTAAATTTCCTCGGGATCTTGCTTCTGGCAAACTTACATCCATTGTAGTACATACTCCACGAGCAGCCGAAAGAAAAGGAAGCACCACAGGTTTCGGGATCCAGTCCCTGACAGGCACAGGTTCGTCTGAGGAATTAAAGAACCACTAATGTTAACTAGTTGTGCAGTTAGATACACTGTCTCTGTCTGATGTCAAGCATCTTTTTATGTCCACCTATAAGCCTTATTTAACATTGTATCACAGGTAGTGCAAAGCAGGTATCCAGCATGATAGAAAAGCATTTATGGCACTGGGGCCACTGTAATGGCAGACACACCATCCCAACTCACCCAACCTGAATACATGGCTGACACAGCCTAGTCACAAAACAGAAATCCCCGGGGAAAATTGTTTTTTGGAGGAAACAGTCGGTTTTTGTTTGGAGAAAAACACGAACCAATTTTCAAATTTCTCAATGATGAGTGCACCCAGAGGGCTTTTCTGGGAAATGGAATATTAAGTATGCAATGTAAGGCAGAGGGCATTAACAAATTCAGTGGCAATGCCTGATTAGCTTTGAACATTTAAATCTGAGTTATCAGTCCCAGACGTGGAATTATCCTCTGCTTTGGGCAGAAAAACCCAACTTTGACTTCTACCATAAGAATATATGAATGGCTCCAAAGAAGAGGTAGAAGATATCTACCCCAGCCCTTTGTAGAGGTAGGTGATCTACAAGTGTGGTTTACTGCATATATTTTCAGATTTTTTTTTGTCTTTAAATTTTGATGATGTAAAAATACGATAAATCTTGAATAAGAATATGTCTGTATATATGTATGTATGTGTGTACATATATTCTTATTTTAAATTATTAAATTATTATTTAAACATAAAATTAGAAAAAGATCGTATAGAGAAAACCCGGTTTTTTGCAAGTTCATCAGATCAAAAAAAGCCACTTTAGAACAATTGTAATTTATTGCTGGAGTTTAGAGTGAGAGATCACCACCTCAAATGAAGGCACCAAGGCACCAAATGAAGGTATTCTCCACCCTACCCCTCCATGTTCCCCATCCCACCTCCCCCACCCCTGCCAGTGCTTGATACTGGATGCAAAGACAAAAATGAAATCATCCCTTCCCTTAAAGACCTTCCAGTCCATAGGGGAAGACAACAAGTACAAATATAAATATATATAAAACATGTATTCAAAATAAATAAAAAGTAATCTGAAGGGATACTAGCAACTGGAGGGATCGGGAAAGCCTACATTGAGAAGGGGATATGTAAACCTAGCAATCTATTTCATACATTTTGGGAAAAGAAGAAGATACAAGAAGAAGAAAAGGGAAAAATGTAATTATTGTGGAACTGAATATAAGTATAATACACACTTGTCAGAGCATTATGACTGAATTTCATGATATACATCCACTTTAAGAGTGATTGGAATAACAATGCTAATTTCTCATGAGATGAAATGAAAATGACTTCTGCTGTGAGCGCAAGTCTGGAGTGAGGGTCCATTTTCTTGTACCAAAAGTGCTATAGAAGTGGGGGCAGGGTGGGTGATGACAGAACCATTGGGTCATTGGACCTGTGTTCAAATCCTACCTCTGAAGCTTACTGCCTGAGTGAGTTTGTGTAAGTCAATTAATCCCTCCTAATTAACCTATGTGCTCATATGTAAACTGAAGGGGTTGAACTAAGGGCTTCTGAAGTTTCATCTGTGTTCTATGACCCTATGATACTTTTCTCCATAAGCATAGATGGGATAAAGAGAATAAACACTCAGATAATTGAGCATACGTAGAAGGTATTTTTTTTCCTGCAAATAAATTTTGGGTCAGAATTATCCTAAAGACCCTCAATCATAGGGACGGAAGACTATTTTAATTATTATGGCTATCATATGGCTAATAGCAACCATTTTAATCAAAATTGTGTCAGGCTAGCTGTGAATGACTATAATATTTATTCCCCATCCATCCAGTTCTTGGAATTATTTTTCTAAAAAGTATAATTCTTCCAGACTTTAGAGATCCAATTCATCACTCTGGATTACTATAGTTTGCTTTTATCTATATTAGTGTTGTTTAGTCATTTCAGTTGCATCTGACTCTTTATGACCTCATTTGGGGTTTTCTGGGCAAAGATACTGGAATGGTTTGCCATTTCATTCTCCAGATCATTTTGCAGATAAGGAAACTGAGGCAAACAGGGTTAAGTGACTTGCCCAGGGTCACACAGCTGGGAAGTGTCTGAGGTCAGATTTGAACTTGGGAAGATGAGTTTTCCTGACTCCAGGCCTGGCACTCCATACACTGCTTCACTTAGCTGCCCTACATATATTAATACACTTGACCAAAAAATATACCTCTCCAAATTCACAGGCAGATTGCCCTCTGTTTATGGAAGTCTTAGGCAGATTTATTGTTGGAGTGACTCAGATGCTAGGTCACACAAGAGCCATGGGACACAGCAAAAATGCACTGTGGCTCCTGGTTTCCAATCAATTCCTGGACATATTTCTTATAATCCATATATATATATATATATATATATATATATATATATATATATATATATATGTATATGTATATATTTCTTATCCCTATTCAAATACAAAAAATTGATACTTTTTTTGGTAGATATTAGCAAGGCCTTGAATTATTTTAAAACTGTTTTCATTCAGCATGCCTGAGTGTTTCAATTCTCATGTTACAAAATGTAGACATGGGGGTTCTATTAACTCACCACTAAGACAGAGCAGGGACTAGGGCTCAAATCTCATGATTCCCCAGTAACAATTAAGCCTCCCAACTAATTCATTTAGGGCAAGAGCCATTCCAACAGAACTTCTAGATTACTGGTGGTCTTTCAATGAAATAAGTGAAGGAAAGAATGCAACTGGCTTCACTTACTCTTCGTTTAGTGCACACCGTCGATTGGTGAGAGTGCCATATTTTCTTAGCGTTTCAGTGAGTTCAGAGTATAATCTGTCGGCGAGGGACAGTGGGATTCCCTCCCACACCAGGATGAGGATCACAATCACAGCAGCCTCACAGGTATGGCCAGCTCGCTCCCGCACCAAACACAGTAGCTTTTCTTCATTGGAACTTCTACGAACTACCTGCATAGACCAGTTTCACCCCAAACACAAAGAAACACCACCAACCCAAACAGACCAAAAAAAAAAAAAAAGAAAAGAAAGAAAAAAAAGGAAACAAAAAAATTGTTACTTACACCATATAAAAGCATAGTCATGTTCAGATATGTTGCAAAATTGGAACTATGCTCGTCGGATTCTGGCAGAATTTCTTTGCTTTTGATATGTAAGTGCAGGGGCTCTCACCTTTGTCTATGGACAAGGAAAAATTGAGGGACACCTAATTCTTCATTTCTTAGCTCAATGTGTCAGGTAATTGTTAGTAAATGCTAGCTTCAATGTGTCCAGGAAGGGGTGACAGGAATATTTGCCTTCTTTGTTAAGTGAAACATCAAATGGCTCACTGGATAGAGCCATTCTTGGAGTTGGAGTCAGGAAAATCTGAGTTCAAGTCCAACCTCAGACAATTGTTAGCTATGTGACCCTGGGGAAGTCATTTAGTCTCTACCTCACCTGTAAAATGGGGATAACAATAGCACCTAACTCCCAGGGGTGCTGTGAAGATAAAATGAGGTAATATTTGTAAAGCATTTTGCAGATTTTAGAGTGCATAAATGCTGTTATTATCAATGTAATGGCATCACTATGGGCTTACATCCTCAGAATGACCAAGCTCTGAGCAGTTATCAGTAGGTACATTTTCTTTTACTTTCATAATGTTCTATTAAGTTTCAATTGCCAATCAGCTCATCTCTCCCCCCACCCCAACAACCAACAAGAATTTATTAAATGTTTTTATTCATTCATTCATTCATTTATTTATTTATTTTTACTAAGTGTTTACTAAATTAAGTGAGGCTCTGGGATAAGCCCTGGAGGATATACAAAGAAAAAGTGAAAACAGTCCCTTGAGGAGCTGACATTGGTGATGGATTTAAAATGCAGAATGAGACACGTGATTTTGGACAGGGACAATGTGGGAGTTTGTTTGCTTGACTATACAGATTTGATACAAGAATTTTGGTTTTTTTTAATTTTAATTGGGAGAAGGGGAAATGTGGGAGGGAGAGAAAGTAAATGCTTGTTAATTGAAAGAAAATAAAATTTAATAAAAAAAATCTCAGCCTACATATATATGCATGTATATAACATATACATATATATATATATATATATTATTAAGATGGTATTACTTTTCAAGTCATTTCTTGGGCTGGGTAACTGGATATCTAAAATGGGATTACTCGAAGTACTCTGATGCTTTGTCTTACTTTACTTACCCATTTGGCAATAGGGCATCCCTGAGAACTCTTGCCTTCTTTACCAGTATAGATGACTTTTTCAATCCTAATAGCTTTACCCTTCTGTCCAAACCTTAAAAACCAAAAACAAACACAAAACCACACACACACACACACACACACACACACACACACACACACACACACACACGTGCAATCAGCAGATGGACTTGGTAATGTGGTCAACAAAAGCACATCTAATTCTATGACTAAAACATTTTTTCAAAGGACTCTACCATTTACTTTTAAAAATCAGATCTGCGCCATAGAAAGTGGGTAAGAATAAGTTGTTTCAGTCTTGTTTCTCTCAGTGGAAGAATACATTGATAAGCTGTAAAGGACCATTTTGGAAATAGTGCTAATTAGGTGATAACCATTGAAACCTTATTCTGATACAAAGTCTCACAAGTCATAAGGCTTCCTTTTATTTTGCTAAATGGAGCCATCTGAACCATGCACTTAATTAATTTTCATTCACTACTCAATGTAGTCATTTTGAAGTTTTACAGAATTCATAAAAAGATTTTGGATGTCACAGTGCCTTTATTTCTACTGCTTTCATTTGAGGGTCTATTTTAGCATATAGACAAACTCTTCGGCATGCATTTTGGAAGCAAAGATAACCTTAAACGGTAGCTTCTGTTTCTCCCTCATGCCTAGGGCATTCCCTGTTAATGAGTCAGGCACTTAGCAAGACATACTACTACTAGCAAACCATTAGGGGATGGATCATTAGTGCATTTGTATACATTTAAATGCCTAACTTGCTAGCAAGAATGGCTTAAGAATAAGGCAGGACTCAAGCTAAGCATTTCTTCTCTGTTTGAGGCATCATAATGTATTTTAATGATGAGATAAAATATTAACAAAGAGAAGGCATCCTGGGTGTAGAATCATGCAGGGACTCAACCAGCCTCATTGATGCCTGTGACATGGAGGCCATAGGATGGACCCTACATTCATGGATCACTCTCACAATGGCCCGGCTACTCGCAGATAGGGCTATTGTAGATTATGGGAAATCATTCCGCATGCCAAACTAACAGCTTTGGAAGTGTTGTTATAAACAGAATCTCTGTCATATTCCATGTATCACGTTTTCCTCTTTGGTCATAAAGAGCAACTTTCTTAGGAAGTTGCTAATTGGCAACTGAAGGTAAATTTATCTCCATTTCATTTCTCCATCCACATTTTCTCTCTTTCCTCTTTCATGTTTTACCATCAGTAGGGAAAGCCAGATCTGAGTCTGTCTTTGCAGCCCCTGCCAACACTCCTGTGCTTCGCAGGTTGGCTAATTCTTGTTCTCGTCTGGGTTTTCTGGCATCCACCTCAAAGTGGGCAGCCTGTGCCAGCCAGCAGACTATTAGTCCTGTCAAATATTGTGACTCTCTGGTGAATAGCGCAGTGTGTAATGTTGGCAACACTGGAGTAGCTAAGCCTACCAGTAATTACTTGATTTACAATTGTTTACTTCTTTGTATGTGAAGGCTGGAAAAATTCTGACATACACAAAAGGATAAACGTTAATCTGCCCTGTGCCTTTGCGTTAATTACCTTTCTTCCATGATTTCTCTAATAGCTGCCACATTAGGACCTGCTCCTAGATGGGTATAAAAAGGACCTTCATCTTTTTCAATAATTTGCTCTGTTGAAATAATAGAAGATTATTATTTTAGACCTCAATTATACTAAGTATAAAGGCTACATTCACAAAGCTTATCCCCAACTGCACAGTAAGGGCCCTAAATGTGACTTATTATATAGAAAAAAAAATTTACAGGATGAGCAAATTAGTTGACTGATCTATAAGAAATTGTGCCAAATGATTAATAAGGAGGGCAGCTGGGTAAAAAGTATATTTAAATGTGTATTTCAAAGATGGGGAGGAAAAACACTGACCTTTTTTGGGGGGGGAATGAAGTAAGTAGAACTGAATTAGGAAAATTGTATTGGGAATTAGAACATATATGTCACATCCACCACAACCTCCATTTTTAAATGAAAAAAAGTTATTTTAAAAGCTAATGAGAATTGTCTATCACCTGGATTATTACACATTAACAAAATTTATCTTCAAGGATGCAGTTAATTGTATTCTTTAAGAACCTCTCTTTCTCCTGCTTTGCTACAACATCAAAGTTAGACTGTTTATTTCCTTAAATTATTCAAGGAATTCTTTTAAATTAAGAAGACAACTCAATCTCATTGTTTAGACTCTCCTACTTTAGTGTGGAATGATTCATGGGAAAAAATAAAACAAAGCAAAAAACTAGAGCAATAGCTCACATAGATGGAATAGCCAATTTGTCACCTTGCTCTCAGCAAAATATATATACATATTATATATACATATATGTATATATACACACACACACACACATATATATATAAACACACATATATATATATATGTATGCTTTGGGTATTGTAGGGGTTGGAGGATAAGAGAAGGGAATGAGGGAGTCCAGGCTATAATTTATTACATCAACTATAAAAGACTGCTGTGAAGTATGTATGCTAGTTAGCATTGACCACTCAGAGAGAAAAATAAGCAGTCCTAGTCTTCATTAAGCCTGTTCCATTTACAAAATGTCTTTTGGTAACATTGTCAGAAAAAGAATGTTGGTCTGGGTGGACCATTAGTCTGACCCAACATGCCATTTCTTAATGTTCTTCCAAATAAGCATGCCTTTTCATATCAGCAAAGGGGGGCATTTGGGATTTGGTTCTCTTTCCTTCCCAATCATAAATCCTGTACTGAAAGACACAAAGGCCTCCCTATTTCTCTAGGATATATCAAATAATCTGAATTTTAACCAAAAAAAATCTGAAAAAAAGATATCAAATTGGTTATTAAACTTTAATGATACTTTAAAGATAAAATGGAAAGAATAATGAAAAAAATCATTTGGGGGGGACACATTTAGGACATAAATATCTAGAAAAGACTCTTCCAAAGTTTACATTTATAATTTTTTCACAGTTCATTAGCAGAGTAGAGATTTGTTTCCTTCTAAATAAAAAGTGCAATTTAAAAAAATGCTAACATGGCCAAATCAACATTGATTTAAAAAAAAACTCATAAATGAACTTTTCTAAGGTACTATCTTCTCATTTCATTAGCCTCCCTCACAACGAAGTGGGATGCAAAGGGCTAAACAGATTGAATAATCCCAAACAGATACACACATATTTTTAAAAGGCTTTGAACATAAAATAAATGAACATGCACAACTGTTTTAGAAAAAAAAATTAGTATAGCCCTGATGTTCTTCATGTATAGCACTAGCATCTTTAATTGAAAGGACAAAAATCCAAGCCTTTTTTTTTATGATCCTCTACAAATTGCCAGTAGACTTGGTTTAAAAAAAAAGACAATCTCACATCTGAAGGCAAATTTGCTAATTCTGGATGAACACCATGTGTTTTAGTTTCATTTCTGGCACTTACCTACACAACTGCATGATGGGAAATCATATTGGGTCTTGACAGGTGTGTCCAATAAATTTTTTATAGGTGTATCTAGTAACTTAGAAGGTGACTCTAAAAAATGATTGAGAACAGAACCAGCTGTTCTTTTTGTGGGAGTTTTTTCAGAGGAAGAAGCTGCTTGCTGCTCTGATGTTGGGGCATGCCCATTAAGTTCTGAAGCACTGGTATTTCTAGTTAACACAGTGACCGGCCCTGCCGTTTCTACTTTCACGTGCTTTTGTGACTTGATGGTAAGGGCCTTGTGATCAAACAGGGACTTAACCTGAATCTGTTTCAGCTGCTGTTCCATGGTCTCAATGATGCTCTTTTGTTGTGACTGATCACACCCCAAGTGCTGAACTTCTTGCTTTGCAGTCTTCTTCCATGCTTTGTTCTCTGGAGGTCCTGCCAAGGAGCGCATACAGGCATTGGGCTTAGCTCCAGCTTCCACCTTAATTGGCTTGAGCATCTGTCTGTGGCAAGCCTCAGCCTTGGCTTGCTGAGCTTGATGCTGCTCTTGCCTTTGCAGGAGGTGCCACCGAAGGGCTGCATGCTTTTGGAAGTCCTTCTGGGGAGGCGATTGAATGTGGCTTGCCCTCTGCTCCGGTGCGGGTGGGGCAGCCGGCTGGTGATGGAAGGAGTACCTTTGCTGAAGGTTCTGGCTTGCTTGCTTGCTAGGCAAGTCTTGGTTCTTACTATGATATCCCTGTGGCTGCTGGGGTGGTAACTGTTGATGGGGAGATGCTTGATGTAGGTTATGTCCCTGTTCTTGAAAGCACCCATGAGACACACCTGGCTTTGAAGTTGCATTATTTGGAAAGTATTGCATATGATGCAAGTCCTGTGTTTTGTTTCCTGCAAAGAATTCAGAAGTGATGGCATTTTCCTTCCTCTCTGAAGCCAAGGGCACATTGTTTTGGCATGAAAACTGCACGTTGTTTATGTTTGATTTCAGCATCTGGCCATAAGAAGAGTTTCTACTATTGATACTGTGTACCTGCTCTAAGCCCACCCGCGTATTATGAGACAGGAACTCATTTGACTTGCTATACGGACTTTCAGAATGAAGGCATTCCTCCCTTTTCAGCTGGCCAAAGGAAGGCCTCTCTCTCTGTGGTTCATTGCTGCCATGTGAATGAGGAAAAGTCTGGGCCCCTGGTTCTTTATTCTTCCCCTGGAGTTTTTGCTGCTGATGGTTTAGAGTGAGGGGTGGGTTCGGAGGCAATTGTGCTTGTGATGCCTGTCTCTGCAGCGAAGGCTGTGAGAGGTGTGCAGGTAAGAATGGCTCAGTCTCCGCAGCCTGAGGGTTCAAGTGTGGCTGCTTCAGTGGTGGGCCTATGGGTTTCTCAGCTTGGTGATCTGGTCTTGCCTGAAAAGGAAATTTTGGCATGCAGTGTGCCTGCATAGGGGCCTGGAGTGGAGATTCCATCTTGGGAAGGGGCATTTGGGGTGAAGGCTTTTGGAACTGGTCCACTGGGGCCTGAGACTGCACTCGGGCACTCTCCATTTGGTACATCTGGGGCATCTGATCCTGTTGCACCATTTTCTGGATATAAGTTTGACCTGGGGCTCCTTTGGATATGTTGGGGCCCCTGGCATAATGTTTTGAGGTCATCTGATCAACTTTATTGGACTGATACTGAAGCATCATCCTCAATAATTCCTCCTTAGACTTTGGGTGAGACTGTCCTTGATGAAAGTGAGAGGAAGTCAGCTCAATCCAGCCTGGTTTCACATATGACTGAGTTTGTAGTACATGCTGTTTTGCTTCCTTCCTTTCCTTCTCCCTTGGTATTTCTTGGTCTTTTTGTCTAATCAGCTTCTGGTGGTGTTGCTGGAGATCCCTACCACTCCCAATGACTTCCGGTCGCTGGTTGAGCTGTTCAGATATTGGCTTTCTTTCCTCAGAGCATGAGGCACCTGCTGATGCCATCATGGAAGCTGGCATTTCATTTCTGTGGACACAGTTATTCTGAGGCTTCTCTGGAAACATCAAAGATTTGGTAGCACATGTGGATGGGTCAGGACTCTGGGACGTAGGGCCCTCTGACAGCCCCTCATTCTTCATTTCCCTTAGAAGACTTTCTTCACTTTGGCTAGGGTAGTGCTGGGGTTCTTCTGTCACCTCACCATGCAGAGTGCTTTCCATTTCTGAAGGAGGTTGAGGAACTGGAGGAGGAGGAGGGGGAGGAAGAAGAAAAGGAAGAGGAGATGATTGGGGTGGTGGTGGAGGTGTAGTGGCAATGAAAGAATTCTTAGCAAACACAGAGTTTTGCTTCAAGTAAGCTCCACTCATTTCATTTTGCTTTGAATATCCATCAGGGGTGCCACCAGGAATTTGCAGGTTGTTGCTGGTACCTAGACAGAATTCTTCACCAGGTACCAGCTCTGTGGTTCCTTGGTGTTTACTGTTCTCTACCGGAGAGGGACATATCTCAAAAACGGATTTCTGTTGCTGCACCTGTTGTTCTGGCTTCTGAAGGGGATAACTAGCTGGCATTGTAGCTGGTATGCTGGAGTTATCAGCATTGCAGGCCTCCAGCGCCACCATAGCTGGCACCTGAGGCAGCTTGGAGTTTGAGGTCTGTGGGGAGTTGATCTGCCCTGAGGTATGGGATGAATGAGTGACCTCATAGGACAACTCATTAGTAGCCTGACTATTAATGGCATTTACGTGAGATGTGGTTTTCTGCATCGCAATGGAAACACGATCTGGATAATATGGAGACAGTGTTTTTTCCAGGAGTTCACCATGTGTGTTTTCCATAGAAGAGGCAGAAACTGTAGCACCATTAGGCATTGGTACTGCCTTGTTTTTAAGATATAATACAACGTTCTTGTTTGAGTAACTAACATTTTTCCTCTCCTGCTCGTTTTGATTTTTGAATTCTGGGTTTTCAGACCCACTGCAGTTATGCCTTGCAGAGCAGGGAAAATCTGAGGCTGATTCTTCCTGAACTGTGAAGTTCACAGGCACCTTGTTACATGAATTGGAGACATTTGGTTGGCTGCTGCTTTCACCTTGATTATTTCCTTCTTGGTTTCCCCTGAAGTCATCTCTTTCCCCATTGACATGTTGACCTTGCTTCACTTTCTTGTTTTGATGGAATCCAGAGAGGGAAGGCTCACTAGATGTACGTTTTATTCCCCCATTTTGCATACACTTGGGATACTCTCTATCTTCATGTATGAAGTCTAGACTGACACAATTATTCTGGCTTCCCTTTGTAGGGGGCATTCCATAATTGCTCTTGAATGATAGCCACTTATTTTCACCATTCACTTCTGGATGAGACCTCTCTGTTAATGAACTGCCATTCTGTAGCTTCACTGCCAATGACTCTGGCTGGCAAATGTGAGAAGGCGGTGGTATCAGGAATGGACTTAGTCTATTGCCCTCAACATGGTTGGTTCTGTCCTGTTCCATCTGGCTTGCTTCGGGGCCATCCACAAGGCTGCCCTCTAAAGGTATCCTAAAAGAGAAAACAGGAGGGGAAAGAAAAAAAAGCCATCTAAATTTGTTAATATATATTAAATACTGATAATTAATTTTATAGAATAATAAGAATAAGAATAATCAAGAAATAATTTTTATATACAGTTATATAATCTATGTTCTTACTATGAGGTACCAAACCTATGGAACTCTACAACCTACCAATTCATGGATGGATTTCCTACATCTTCCCTTTAATCTATTGCAATCAATTCTTGGTTATTCCTAGTTGTAGGGTGGAGGGTGCAAAGATATTTAATACAAGCAATGCAGTAAATGTTTACAGTATCCATCGATAGTTTCAGATTATTCCCCCACTAATATCAGAAACATTAATAAGTAGCGGCAACAAGAGAGGAGGGTCACTTCTTTCATCTTTGTTCACCTGTTAGCAACAGTTAATGGTAGAGGTGTTAATTAGTAATTCAGAGTTTGGAAGGTTGGGGAAAAGGAGGGAAATAAGAAATATGAGGACTAAATAAACTATAGTTTGCATAATATGCTCCTGAATAATGGAGTATTATTTGTATATTCTGTGCTCAGCTATTTCTTTCTCATGCTTTATCATTCTCTTTCCTTTAACTAGGTTGTTTAATCATTTATATTTAAGGTTATAAACCAATAAACCTACAAACATGTTTTTAGGCTTGTTATTTCGTCCATTTATTTCTTTTGTATTAATTTTTAAGACGGCACCATGTCCTTCATGCCCTGCTATTTTTTCCAAAATTTCTCTTCACTCTCAAAACATTTGGTTTTGAGATCTATGGATAGATATTATATAAAATGATGTATTCTATTTCTTTGACTGTAAAATGCTCCAGCAAAACCATTACTCCTATTGGGCACAGAAATTAAACCATAGAAAAAAGAGGCAGAACGAGGAGGAGACTTGTTTGTTTATGTTGCCCCCACCTTTTACTTCATGTTTGGGTAGAGAAATTTTGGTCTCTTTATTTAGCTTACAAAGATTACATTTAGGGAAAAAAAACATTTCCAAGAAAGGCAACTGCCTCAGATTCAGGAAAATCTTCCACAATTTGGAGAATCTAAACTTTTCAGTAATTAAGGGATAAATAGGCAATGCCTTGGTGATAGGGATATGGATCTTAAAGAAGGACTGTACCTTCCAAGTAAAAGACATCAACAGAAATTCATTGGCCAACTTTGTACTTCTAATTATAGAAGTATACATAATATATGTGCTTGTTTTCTCAATGATATACTTTTTTAATGCAAAGAATTAAAAGTTAGCACAACTATTCTCTATTGCATGCATTAAATAATCAAAAACGGAATTCACAAGGACATTAACAAATTCAACATGTACATGAGAAGAAATAAAGGTCACAAAATTTATTTTGATAGACATTCTTTAGTGTAGTGGTAATTTCAAAACTAATTTAGCTCATCAACATAGGGACTTTTTTTATAGAGATAAACCCTGTCAATGAATATTAATCCCATTTTTTGTTGTTCATGCAAGCATTTTCCTTTTACCAGTTACTCATATGAACTCTTGTGGTTCATTTTTCCAAGGGAGGGTGGGAAATTCACACAAGAATCTTGGTTTCCAGGCTAAGGACTTAGAGTGCTATTTTATTAGTGTGTCAGCTCTCTGACTTAGAAGATTACATCAAGTAAGCTTGCCATTTCAAAGCAAGAAAAAGATACCTCTCTTTAACTCTCTCTTTCATTCCTTTCTCCACTTCTGCCCCTACTCCCTCCCAACTCCTCCCAAATCACTCTTCAGCTGTCTGACATTATCTTGGGTTTTATTTAGAGCCATTATTCACTGTATATTATACACATAACAAACTAAAATTTTGGCTATCTCTCGCCTATTGCTTTTTATAGAGACATTATAGATACAAGAGCAAGAAACCCCAGTGTTTGACCTGTTCATTCTTCTTATTGTTGGAATATTAAGTAATCATTAATCCTGTTTTTTCATTGCTATTTATCCAATATTTTAAAAACAGAAAAACTCCATGTTTTACATGTAATCTCTATTTCTTTAAATAGAGATTCAAAAGTTTTCCTCTCATATGAACTAAAATTTATGCTTATTAAAATGATTTTCAGCACATAAAAATGTTACATTGCAAAGGCCCATGTTCCATTCAAGAGCAATAATTCTGCTTAAAACACCAATTTGAAGATTTATAATCCTAATGAACTGAAAGCTATTGCCTAAATATTCCCATAATTTTGCTTTTGCTGTTCTAAATCTTAACCTATGGCACACACACCCTATGACAGACTACTAGAATATTGTATAAGACAAAAGTTTACCCACTACCAACATAATTGGTGCAAATAGGGTCATTTAGAAATGCAAATAAATTATAAAAAGGAAACTTATTGAAATGTTAAACTAAGTGCAGTTTAATATAAATAGTATGAGTTTAATATAAAACAGTATAAATTTTTGAGATGGAAACATTCTTGAATGATATTACTTTTACTTCTCATAAAAAGAAGATAAAAGTAGGGTTCTTCATTTTTAATTTTGTAGGCTCCTAAGTTTAAGCAAACTATAATCTCATAAGTGTCTAGTATACTGCCACTACACCAGGAAGATGATCATATTTTGGAATTCCCTACAGGTATTTTTTTTGTCATTTGCAGAATGGGATTATTTATGCTTTTCTAATTTTATTTTCTACACTGAAGAACATCTAATTTATACAACCTGCAGTGTATGTTTGAGTACTACTCCCTTGTTCAAGTGAATATTCAGAAAATACTTCTCTTAAGAATAACTCTTGGGGGTTGGTACATGTGAAATTGCTCTATGCAGAATGATTAATACTGAATAAAGTTGTTTTTATTGGCATCATCTTGTAGCTGGAAAGATAATTCTATTTTTGCAAATAATTCTATTTTACAATAAGAACCATAGGCATTAGTTAAGACTACCCTAATATCTGCCCTTGCCTGAAACTTCTAAGGCCCTTTCCCCATTACCTGTATAAAGTTCATATGATAAATAAAGTTATTTTTCCCATTGAGACTTTTGAATGATAGAAAGGTCTTCTAAAGACCCTAGGTCTTCTAGGGTAGCTTGATGATGCAATGTATCAAATTTTAAGCCTGGGGTCAGGAAGACCTGAGTTCAAAGTTGGCCTCATATACTTACTAGCTGTGTGACACTGGGCAAGTCACTTAACCTGTTTGTCTCAGTTTCCTCATGTGTAAAATGAACTGGAGAAGGAAATGGCAAACCACTCTAGTATCTTTGCCAGATACCCCAAATGGGGCCATGAAAATTTGGACACGACTGAACAATAACCACAAAGAAAGACCTGCTAACTGAAGGTATGTCTCATGGTTTATATTCCTAATAGGCAGTTACACATATTTTATTTTTTATTTAAAAGTACACATACAAAATTCAGTTCACTTACAAGATGGTACACAACGTAGAAAGAGTGATGGATTTGGAGAGGAATTGAGTTCAAATTCCAGTTCTGTCATACTCTATGTGACTTTAGGCAAGTTATTTAACTTTTCTGGGCCTCAGTTTCCTTATGTGTAAAATCAGTGGATTAGGTTAGATGACCTTTAAGGTCATCTCCAGTTCTAAGATTATGTTATCATTTTACTGGATAAGTACCTTCTCCATTCAACTTCCTTTGGATAGACCCTAATACTATCATAGATAGGATAAATAGTCTTTGGATAGATCTCATTGCTACCTAGCTTCAAAAAACTTATATTTTATTGGGACAGATGTGTCTGTGCGCACACACACACACACACACACACACACACACACACACACACACAGAGTCAACCAGGTGGTACAATAGATTGACTGCTATCCTTGAAGTTAAGAGGATGAGTTTAAATCATGACTCTAGGAAAGTCAATCAATGTCTCTCAGCAAGGACCTTCTCTATGCAAATTCCTTTGGATAGACTTTAATGCTGTCTTCCTGGCCCAATCCCCACCATGCCTTCTTTTTGCAGACCTTCACTTCCATTTCCTCTCCATACGTGACCTGGACTCAACCTCTGCACTCCTCAGCTCTGATTGGTGAGTTTTTGCTTTAGCTTGCATAGTTCCAGGCCTGCTTATTTCCATCCCTCCAAGTGTATTCCCAACCCTTTTCAGTTCCCCTTTGTCTTTCCCATTAACTTGTAAGCTCATTGGGAGCAGAGATTGCCTTTCTTGCTTGTATTTGTATCCCTACTGCTTTACACAGTGCTTGACTGTCAACATTTAATATAGTCTCTGTCTATCCATCCATCCATCCATCCATCCATCCATCCATCCATCCATCCATCCATTCAAACAAAATTAGGAATTTAAACCCTGCTTTGTGAAGAGGAAGAGAGAACTATACTATTAACTTGCTATCAACATTTATCTTCTACCATCTAGACTACTTATTAATATGTTATATATTTATGCATGCATGCTATAGATTTCTTATTTAAAGCAGAACTGAAAGACTAAGGAAAGGTAGCAGATGAATTTTTGACCTTCGTGACACTACAGTATTTGGGTACAGATAGATTGCAGCAATACTGGTAAATATTATTCAGGAATAGGAGGAACAGCATAGCAGCATCACAGAGAGCAACAACAGAAATTTTATTTGAAAAGCTTCTTTAGAATTTTCTGTCTTAAGGACTTTCTCCATGTTGGCATACATGGATTATAGCTTTTATAACCCCATGTTCTTTGTTTCTTGTTGAACTGAATTTTTAATCTAGTGACCCAATTTAAAAAATCATAAGAAACGTTGACCAAATTATGATCAAGTGGGATTTAGACCATGATGAAGAGCAAATGAGCAGAACCAAGAGAATAGCACTATTGTTTTAAGAATGACTTCATGCAAATAAGTCATTTTGACTATTATAAATACTCAAATTAACTATAAAGGACATATGAAGAAAGACACTATCTGCATCCCTAGAAAAAATTGATAAATAGATGTATAGAATAATTTTACATGCATGCATACATACATACACACACATGCACTTATTTGTGTCTAATGTTAGCTGCCTGTGGTGGGGGAAGAAAAAAAGAAAAAATAAATTTACAGGATAACTTTGTATATTTAAAAGGAATAGCAAATTATACATAATAAATTTGCAGTTTCATGTATAGTCATCTTTTTAAAAATTATACTGTTATGGAAATGCTTGTTTTATTCCATAAATTAAAAATAAAATAAATTTTAAAAAAGAAATAAAAAGAGAAACTACATTAAGGCAAAAAAAAAGAGAGACAGACAGACAGACAGACATTGACCAAAGTAACAATAATGGTGTTGCTTGTGTCAAGGAACCAGGATGGCCCAAGGAAAGGAAGAATTAGCACTATGGAGATTTCTGTTTTTTTTTTTAATTTAAAATCGTACTTTATTATTACATATATATGTATATAAATACTTATGTGCATGTATATATATGTATATATACACATACATACACAAACACATATACATATCTGGGATATTCTTATTTTAGGCCCTATTACTAGAGGCCTGTGATCATTAGTATGACAACATAAAGAACATGTCAGTCCACATCTTTTAAATAGCCTACATTTCCATCTTAGTCTGATAGATAGCTGCCTCATTTTTTCTACTGTGTATGTTATCTGAACTGGAAAGTTCTATGGTAAAAAGCAAACAAAGAACTTGAAGAGATCTTAGTATAAGAGTTCTTGACCTGGGGTCTGTGGACTTGATTTAAAATAAAATACTTTAATAACTGTATTCCAATATGTTAATTTTCTTTGTAATTCTATGCAATTTATTTTATGCATTTAAAAATGTGTTTTTGAGAAGAGGTCAGTAGGCGTTGCCATACTACCAAAGGGGTCCATAATGCAAAAAAAGGTAACTAATCTTTATTTTAAAAGATTATCCACTTATCAGTTCTTTCTCTGGATGCAGATAGTGTCTTTCTTCCTATGTCCTTTGTAGTTAATTTAGGTATTTGTAATAGACAAAATAGCTTATTCACTCAAACTTGTTATTAAAACAATATTGCTGTTACTGTATACAATGTTCTCTTGGTTTTGCTCATTTTGCTCTTCATTATTTCATGCACGTCTTTCCATGTTTTTCTAAAATCATTGAGCTCATCATTTCTTACAGAACACTAGTATTCTGTCATAATCATATAACACAAGTTGTCCAGAGAAGAACTGATAGACATTATGTATAGAATAATTTTGTATATTTGTGTGTGTGTGTGTATTTATACACACACACCCCTATTTGTGTCTAATGGTAACCATCTGTAGGCTGAGGTGGGGGGAGGGGAGGGAAGGAAAAAATACTTTAAAAAAGATTATTCAATACACTTGTCTGCTTCTAGGCAAGACTATACTTTGGCCCAGAGAGGCAGTTGTCTAGGCTTTCTTCAGACTTTCAAGGATGATGATTTCTAAACACTGTCTGGTATAGTGTTTTAGGGTATCAGCCTTTTATCCAGAAAATTATCTTCCTAATATTAGCTCATTCAACAAATGTTTACCAAGAAACTATTATGGAGAGGAAATGGTTCTTGTACTATAACATATGGATATGTTTGTGTGCATATGTACACACATACATGTATTTGAATATATACACATATGTGTATATGTAGTTAGTTCTACTATAATGTGTGTTTTGAAAATGTGAATTTGTTTCAATATGTTTGATATGTTAGGGGATAATTTGAACATAACATGAATTTCATGTTTGCTTATGAATTTCATCCCAGATACACAGAAAACTGAACCCAGATGAAGGGAACTGAACAAGAATGCATAAAATGCACATAGGCACACACCTCAAATATCTACCAGTTGCTTCAGTTCAACATGTGTGTGATCCCAGAAAGTTTTTCATTTGTGGACTTTTCTATATTAAAAAGAAATTCAATATCGCAAACATGTCTGAGTGCTGTATTATCATGTCTTCTTGTGCAGGAGGAGCTGTGGATCTAGGAAGGCTGCTCCATATCCACACACTACTAACCCCACTCATCAAACCTCTACCTTCCTCCATGGCTGAGCCCTGCCTCATCTCCTTGCCCCATAGCAGCAGATTTTGCCAACCTGGCCTTATGAGAACAAGGCATGGGATTAGCATAGGCCACAGACTCTGACACTACTTATTATAGTGTTCATGTATTTCTTAACCATTTTAACATGTATAAAACTGTACTTCCATTTTTATTAGCCTCCTATCTTTCTTTTAGTTGTCACTAGTGAAGTTTTTGAGCGTTGGGTCCCTAACTTCATTTTTCCCTGTGGTTTTTGTTGAGCAATTTTGCATAGTGTAATGATTTACACACACGCACACACAAATATCATATCTTTTTTTTTTCCACAGAAAGTGTGTTTATGTTAAAGGAATTTACAATGAAAGGATCATAAACCTTGGGGAAAGCATTTTAAAAGGGCTGGTCACTTTTAGGCATGTTCAAAATGCATTTTTTTTTATAATACAAAAAACTAATATTTGAAAATCAGAATACATTAACAGAAAACGCACAATAACTTAATTGTTTAACGTCTGTATAACTGTTGTAAAGTCTGATAAAAATGCACACTTAGAACATGAGATTATTTAAAAAAAATCACCACTATAAGATTCTGTTGAGTCAATGCTATGTCACCAGAAGGAGAGCCCTGAGCAAGGCACCATTGGAAAGAAAGCATACTTGGATGTGTGTCTGTAAATACAGTAAATGCCAATCTGGTCAAAAAATTGGTGTCTTTCGAAGAATTCTATGAGTCAGATCTAGCAGATCTGCATGCATTCTCTCTCTGTCTCTCTTTCTCCCCCCCTCCCAGATTTCAGTGAAAGGAAAGATCACTTTTGCCTTTTGGAGGTCATGTAATATCTAATCCCAATCCTTCAAGAAAAATACAATCCGAATTTCTTATCTTCATCATAGTGGAAAACAAAACAAAAAACAACCCTCAGTAAAAATTACTTTTCTAGAGATTATAAAATAAGTAAAATTGTTATTGTTCAATTCCATTAGACATCTGTGAGTAATCAATTACTAAACATCTATTAAGTCCCTAATATATGTCAGGAACTAAGCTAGCCATGGAGAATATGAAGAAAAACATAAAACAGCACCTAGCCTCAAAGAGCTTACATGTATATACACAATACTATGCCATATCTGACATATTTTTGTATAAAGACGGGCAGCTGGAGGGCATAGTGAATGGAGTGCTGGACTTGGAGTGAGGAAGATGAGTTTTAAATCATGCCTCAGATTTGGGTTACATGTGACCCTGGGCAAGTCACCTAACCTCTCTCAGTCTCAGTTTCCTCATCTGAAAAATGGGGATAATAGTACCAACTTCCCAGAGTTGTTGGGAGAAGATGAGATAATATATGTAAGACATTTTTAAAACCTTGAAGTGCCATATAAATGCCAGCTATTGTATGTATTTCTATATGTAAGGGGCAGCTAGGTGGTTCAGTGGATAGAGTGGTGGGCCTAGAGTCAGGAAGACCTGAGTTCAAATGCAGCGTCAGACACTTACTAGCTGTATGACCCTGGGTAAGTCACTTAACCTCTGTTTGCCTTAATCCACCCAGGGCTTCTTAAACTGTGGGTTGCAACCCCATAGGGGGTCATGACCCAAAGTTTAAGAAGCACTACATTGGGCAGCTAGGTGGTACATTGGACAGAGCTCTGGCCTTGGAGTCAGGAGGACCTGAGTTCAAATGTGACCTCATACATTTGACACAGACACTAACTGTGTGACCCTGGGCAAGTCACTTAACCCCAATTGCCTCACCAAAAAAAAAAAAAGAAGCACTATACTAGAGAACCACTCTAGTATTTTTGCCAAGAAAACCCCATGGACAGTATTAATGTGATATGATCATGAAGAATTGGACGTGAATGAATGACTGAACAACAATATCTATCTGTCTATCTGTCTATCCATCTATCTATCTCCATCCATCCAAACATCCATCCATCCATCCATCTATCTAATATGTAATACATATAGACTAATGGGTGGATGGTACTATACAGCAGAAGAAAAAGCTTCATAGTTAAATGCCTATATGATTGTTATTCTACTCTAGAAAAATCTAGATAATAGAACCCTAATTATCAAACTCTTAAATAGGAGTAATCTAGTTTTTTTAGCCAGTGATGTTCAGAGTTTTTTGGACATTCCATTGATTACTGACCTACTGTCTTGTTGAAATTATACTTTCTCAATGAAAATAATTGAAGAAATGTATGACCAAAAACAGTGATGTAGCAAGAGTAAGGAATAAGTGCTGAACATTCTAAGTTATATACAGATACCTATGAAATATAAAAATAATTGGAATACCTCTAGCCTAATTTGTTGAATTGCTTTGCAAGACACACACACACACACACACACACACACACACACACACACCCCTCATCATTGAAGAAGCATGAAGAACTACATCCAATAAGAAGACATGGATGGGTTGCAATTTGTCCAGATGGAGGGAACATACACAGAAATGAAATCACAGGTCTACAGGAGCTTTGGAGGACTGGACTATTATCACTACTTGGGAAAATGCCTGCAAGTGTATATAGCTGCTTATAGTACTTAGGGGTATCTTTTCATACATCACATAAATTTCAAAAATTAAGGGTTCAAATTTTCATATGGGACACAGCAAAGCCTTTAAAAAAAGAAATAACCATCCATAGAAATTGTGAATTTAGCAGTTACTTAGGTGTGAGGAATGTTAGTTTAATTAAGCAAATCCACATTTTAGAGACAAAGTAGCCCAGAAATTATCTTGCAGGTAATTTTGATTCCTGGGTCTTTCATCCTAGCTAATGATGCTCTAATGTTTGATTTTACAAGAAGTCACTTCATTGCTTCTGTTTCCTACAACTAACTATTAATACAATCAATTATTTAGGAAGCAATAAAATCATTATTGTAACCATGTAATGTAATTTAAACACGGAAGAAGCAAAATCAGTCTTCTGTCCCTCCAGTTTCTACATTTCAATAGCCTCTAGCATCATCTTCACAAGGTATCAAATAAAGAAGTGCCAAGCACCTGAAGCTTGTGTTTTCAATGTCAGGAACACAATTTTAAAGCATTTTCATTTCAATTTAAAGCAGGAACACTGCAATTTTGACCAGAGGATGACATTTGGGCCTGAGAAAGCCAAGCCAGGTTTTAGATACAGCAGTTATCGACTCTGCATTTGATATGGTACCCCCCCACACCCCATCAAGCATTAATTTATTATAAATTCAAGTCGCATCAGCAGCATCTGTGAAACAATTACTCCATCTAGGACTGGCTCTGCAGTCTAATCCATCATAATTATGACTGGCCTCTTTGAAGGTGCTATGATGCATGACTTAAAAATAGCACATTACTGTGCAAATGGGTTGGCATCTCATTCCACCAATATGCGTTTAGGGCTGTAATTCAACTCAACACCATTTGACTTCTTAGGAATCAAGAAGGAATATAGATGCATCTCTTGCCACATAAAACTGTAGATGGTACTCAGTAATTATGTAAAGGGATTTTTGAGGGGGAGGGGAGAGGTGTTCTGTTCTGAGAAATAACTGACATCCTGTAAACATATTCCTTACAGGCTCATGTCATTCCTTTTGCTATGGGAAAGTGTCTGTTCATAGCCATGATGATAAGACACCAAAGCTTCCTCCTCCCCCTTCTACGATTCAGTTCAATTCAATTCAACAAGCATTTATTAAATGCCCAATATGTGTCAGGTGTTGAGAGCTTTGGTAGTCTGATTTAAAAAAAAAATAGACAAAAATTTCTAGGACCACCAACTCCCAAAGCCCTGAGCCAAATGGAAACATGATACTCATTAATTTAATTTATCTGTGGAACCATTTAACACCAATTACTTGATGTGAATGGTTCTTTTGTAGGTAATGTGTTTCTCAACAGCAGCCTGAGGTACCATTCTGGATAACAATTTTGGCTCAAATCTTCCCTTCTGTATCCATCAAATTCCCATTCTCAGGAGTTTCACTTTCTACCTTAAACCTTGTAACTGTTGTGTTGGTTGAAGTGACTTGATATCAGTAGACTTGTGAAACTTAAAAATAAGAAAAAAAAAACCAAAACCTATAACAAAACAACTTTAAGGTAGCAAACTAAAATCATAAAGAATCAAAACCTCTCAGGTTCTTGTAGGAAAACTAACCTACCCAAGCTATATGAAGATTGCAATTTGGATTCCATACTTAATGGTTAACATATGTCCTAAGCAGAGAGAATGTGGACTAAGTCATATTTTTAGAGTAATCTTGACTTTTTGAACTTCTCATACTGTAAGAGAATTTAAGACCAAGATTTTGGAATTTTTTTCAGGTCCCTAATAAAGGGAACAGCTAACCCTTTACCTTCAAAGAGAACTGAGAAAATCCACTTTCTCCTCGATTCCAGACATCTACACATACTAAGCAGATACATTTATAAGGTTACTTATAAACATATTTTTCCTCTGGGGCATGAACAGAAGGATCTCACTTAGGATTATTAAATTTCTGGGTTTACAGCTTTAAACTGGATCTCCTTATCTTAGGCATAGAGACCGGACCTGGGATTACAGTGAAATTGGAAACTTCTCAGTGAGGAACCCCCACCCAACCCTTTTAGTGCAGGTTATTACCTTATCTTCAACTTAAAGAGTCGTCTAAAATACAGATGGGTGAAATGACTTGCCCAGAGTCATGCAACTAGTATGTGTCAGAAATGGGAATTTGGTTTCAAATCTAGCTCTCTATCCACTATACTATATGTTGCCTCTCTTCTTGGGTGAAAAAAAGATTAAAAATAGAGCTTAA